TAGAGTCTTGGGACCAGCCCTGGGTCTTTGGGCATCTGGAGATCAAACCCATCGTGGGGCAATTGCTGAGGTTTTGTCTTTGGGCTTTAGAGGTGGAAATATTGCAGCCCTGGATGTCTGGGCTGGCTTTGCCTTCTGGAAATCAGGGCAATGTGGCTTTTGGCCCCTTGAGGCTGTTTCTCATGGATAATAATGTCCCGGGTGGGTGCTTGCGATGCCTGCAGACAACACGTAGAGTGGGAAGACTTCACTGGGGTTATGATCTTTAGGAGCTGGCATGGTGCACAGAAGCAGGAACAGCAGCCGTGCTGCTTGCCCTGCTCAGGGCACCGCAGCATGCTGGCAGGAGTCGTGGCAAGGCAGTAGCAAGCTCTGCAGGACACTGGTGGAGAATGGGCAGTGCTGGGACCCACCTCACTCCCAGTTCAGTGAAGCTTTTTGAACGGCATCGCGGGCAGCGTTCAGGCAGGGAAAGCCGTACACAGTGCGTCCTAGAGACCTGAACATGACTGCAATGGCGAGCCAGGGGACAGTGGCACGTAATTAATTTGGGAACATGTGTTCGCTTTCTGGTGAGTTATTATCTTGTCAGAGGCTCAATGGAAGAGAACGGGTAGGAGGAGGCAGAAGGGAGACGAGTTGGGCTGGGAAAATGAGGAGAAGCAAGGGAAGGAGAAAGGCAAGGAGGGAGGAATGTGGCTGCACGAGGCGTCTGCTCGTGCCTTGTTGCATCGGCACCGTGCGGGACCCAAGCGCAGCTTCGCTGTCTGTTGGGTCAGCTCCGTGCCGGAGCAGGATCTCACCTCCACGGTTCCCCCACCGCCGTGACGGCCAAGATCCCCTGCGCCGGGGGCCTTGCAACGCTGCTTTGTTGATGACAATCTCTCTAATGTACCCACAGTGGCTTATCTGCACCACACGAGAGACATCGTTCTGTTATTTATACCTCTGTATTTCAGGCTGTTTGCTGCCGGGGTGCTCGCCCGTCTCTGGCAGGAGGCTGCCGAGCTCCCCGTCTCTCTTTGTGTCATGGGCAATATATTGATTATGCATCGAGTCTGTCTTGGCTATTTTGCAGGTCTGGGCTGAGTTTTCCCCTTTGCTCCTTTGTGCTTCCCCTTCCCTGAGGTTTTTTTATGGAGATCTGCAGAACTGCTAGTCTGGCAGAGCAAGTCTGAAATAGCGCGTGGTGGTCTGGGCGCAGGCTCCCGCTTGCCGAGCCGGTGGATTTAGGCTTTGGTTTTCCAGCTCCTCACCTCGCACTGGGTTAGTTTGTCATCCTCAGCTGATGAGCCAGGATTACGCTTTTGCCTAGTCTGTGGCTGTTCCATTTCTGGCCGGTATTATATTGTTAGTATTAATAATAATAATAATGATGGGTGCTAGCTGTGCTGGTTTTCTAGCTCCTAAGGAGATGAGAGAGCTCTCCCATTAATTCCTGCAATATTTCAGCTCCTAATTGTGCTCAAGCAGAGACAGCCTTGAAAAGTTCCCACCATTAATTCAGGTACCTCTCTCTGGGGGGGCTCCTAGAGCTGCGGGGCCCTGGGCCAGCCCTGCCCTGAGCATCCCTGAGCTGTGGGTGCTTTCGGAGGCAGGGACTGGGGCAGTTAGGTGCCCCTTGCATTGCTCTAACTCCAGGCTCAGGCGAGTGGTGGGAGGACGGTGGCGCAATCCCAGAGGGCCTGATATATGTGAGACTGGTTGGAGGAAGAATCCCCATCCAAAACCTGGGCTGGGGCTTGCCTCGCTCCTAAACCCGGGCAACTGAGATTCACCCAAAGCAGCATGTGTGTCTCTGTGCAACCCAGCATGTGGATAAATGTCTCTCCCGTGCCCCACCAGCCCCAGGGGACACCAGCAGCCATGGTGACACGGGCACCCTGTTGCTTTCTGTAAAGCAAGGTCTGCACTCGCAGATCGCGTTTGCTTAACCCTGGCCCTGCTCCCTGGGTCCCATCTATTTGTTTTTCCATTTCTGGCAGTCACTAATGAATGAGATTTGTCCAACTATCAACAAGACTTCCATTATAAACAGGCAAAACCGCAGAGGCCAGGGAGCCGAGTGGCTCGGCAGTTACTCTCGGCCATGCCTTTGCCCCGTGGCTGACGGAGGTGCTGGTGCAATCTGGCAGCGAAAGAGGTTTTAGGGACCTGGTTTTCCTGCAAAGCCCCTTGTGCAGGAGGGGACAGGGGGACACAGCAGGTGTCCCGGTCATCTGGTGCCTCGGGTCAGGGATCCCTTGTGTCGCCTTATTCCTTGAGGTGCTGTAGCAGACGCTAAGGACGCAGGATCTGGCCAGAGCCTTTAGCAGGGATGAGCTTCCTCATGGTGTTGTTATCTGAGCATGAGTAACACCAGATTGTGCTCAGGCAAAAGCAGGCAGCAGCTCCGGTGCAAAGCATCCTGTTTCCATGCGAGGCAGGCTCTGTGCGTTAGGGGCAGTGGGCTGTAGCCAAAATCCCACGGAGGCCAATGCAAAACGAGCCTGAAACCTCAAACTGTTTGCGCTATACCTCTCCGTTGGCCGATGACAGTGGATGTGTCTCAGACTTCAGCACTACACAGGCACAGAGGAAGCCTTCACCTCTCAATTTCCTGAGCTTTTGCAGGTGGAAAGCTGACCCTTGCAGTTACTTTAATGATGTCTTTTGCTGGGTAATGAAATACACTCTCCAATCAAACCAGGGACGTGGGCTACGGCTCGGCTACAGCGACAGCTAATTCTTGCCACGTGCGAGCCGGCTCTGGCGCGCTTAGGGAAGGGCCTTTGGTTAGTTAGGAAGCAGAGTGTTATCTAAGCCTTTGCACAAACTGGAGTCAGATTTGCGCACGGAGCATCTGAAGGCCACCGGCTGTGTCGTTATTTTATCAGCAGGCAGCGCTGTGCTACAGAGAAGCCGATTCTAGGTCAGCCATAAAAGGGTTGTTTTTTTTTTTTTTTTTCCCCTCTGCTTTTGCAGCTCACACTGCTGCAGGCCTAGTGGACGTAACTCTGCAATTTTTGTGTCTCCAAAGGATATTGATTTTGGGTAACGCCTTCATATCTTGCCCTTCAGTTGCACTAAGTACTGATGAGCTCAGCAGTTTTGACTGTGAGGCGGTCGGGTGGGAATTTTGGCACGGGGCTGAGGGTGCAGGCGGACGTCAGCAATTCATCACGTCGGGTCACGGGGGAAAACTTGCTTCACCACTTTCCAAAGCTCACACGGTGGTGTGGGGCTGTCTTCCCAGTTAAGTCAGCCTGGGGTAGCGGAATGCACACACGCACATGCATGGGGTCCTAGGGTTTGGCTGCCGAGCGTGCGAGGGAGCAGCGGATGTGCAAAGTCCCATGCGGAGGTGGCTGCCACGAGGTCTGGTGCAGGCTGGAGCCAAGGTGTGATTTTGTTCTGGCTGAGCTTTTTTGCCCTCGTTCAAGCCCAAAGTAGCAGCACCTGGGATTGCAGCAGCAGGATCCCAGCCGCAGGAGCTCGCCGTGTCGAGCCGTGCTGGGGGTGTTACAGAAATCACATCAGTGCTGGCTTGGGGCCCTGCATGCAAACCCCCGCATACACGTGCTTTCCAGACGGCCGCCTTGGCAGGCGGTGGCATGTGACCACGCTCACTATTTCTGTACCACGGGAAGAGATGCTATAAAAGCATCAGCCGGTGGGATGCAGACGGTGTGTGCCCCGACGGGAGCCTCCCGCGTGTGTATTTTGCATGCATTTGTTAGGAGCAAGATGCGTACGGTTGACCGGTCAAGCGTGGCGAGCTGTGGCCCACCGGGTCACACTAGCAGGGAGATGACAGTAGCCAGGCGGGAAACGAGGGCGAGCGTGGGATCGCCTGGCTCTGCTGGCCAAGCTCACCAGGTCCCCCAGGGACTGGGGACCTGCATTCGGCCTCTCTGCCATTGGCACTCACTCCCAGAAACAGCTGTCCAGAGCTAATTTATTTCCTAATGCTGCAGCAATGTTAATTTATAAATTACACTGGTAATTCAGGCTATTATTAATTTCAGATGGTGTAGGGCAAGCCTAATTAAAATATGACACCAATTGCCACACATATGTACCAAGGACTACCGTTTAAAATTTATAGGAATATTAAGTGTGACACTGGTCTCAGAGATGCTTCGCACAGTAATTACAGCATCTCGGCCGCGGGAGATCCGATGGGGAGACGTAAACGAAAGGAGAAGTTGTCCCCATTTGGGGGCTGTCAGAAACCCACCGGTGCTGTTTGTTCAGGGCGAGCAGCGTTTCTTCAGGATGTTTGGCAGACGTGTCTTAATTGCCAGGTTCCTTTATTTAACTCTGCGTTTGCTGCGGCGCCGTGATCTCCATCAACCTGGAGACTATCACGGCCCAACACCTGCATCTCACCAGCCAAGCGCCGTGGGTTTCCAGGAGTACTTCAAAGCGAAGAGCAGCCTCTTGGAAGGAAGGCGGGGGGGGCTGTAAGATGCCAAACAAAAGGAAAAACTGCTGAATACATCTGCCCAGGATGATTTTGTGGTGCAGCATGGGAGGGGGAGAGGGGGGCGAGCACAGCCCCCCCATGAGGACCACACAAATGAGCCTGGAATGGCACAAGGACAAAGAATTTCATCTGAAGGGAGATGTTGGCACCATAACTAATAGCAAAAAAGTGGCTGTGAATTAATTGAAGTTGAAAAATTCGATAGGGGTGTCTGTGTAGAGCTGGGTGAGCCCGGCGGTGCCTCCCAGCAGGAGAGAGGCGTGAGATGTGCAGATGCCAAGGGAAGATGATTTCAGGTTATTCTAGCAGGGGGCAGGTTTCACCAGGACCACTTTTCCCACCCTGTGCCCATCAGGGACGTTATCTCCAGCAAGCGATGCACTGGGCGGGCCCCTTTCTGGCAGGGCTGTTTTGGGGAGTGGTGGGGCACAGGCACGTGGGCTGGGACGGTGGGTGGGTGGGTGTCCTAGAGCAGTGTGACAGTTTGTTGTGCCTCCCTGTCACTCACGGCCCTCTCCCTCTGCCTCTGCAGCCGTGGGCTTCATCAGCGAGGATGAGTACCTGGAGATCACGGGCATCACGCGGGAGCAGTCGGGCGAGTACGAGTGCAGCGCCTCGAATGACGTGGCAGCACCCGTCGTCCAGCGAGTCAAAGTCACCGTCAACTGTGAGTAGCCTGGGTGGGCTGTTGGGTGGGCCAGGGCCAGAGCAGGTCACCGTGCCACCCCACAAAGGGGATGGGATGTTGGCGGTGGAAGGTGGGGCAAACCCATCTTCTGGGCCCCAGAGCCGAGACAGGTGGCAGCAGTTTTCTGAGCAGGTGGTGTTTTGCCCTTTTTCCCCCTTCTTTTCAAGCTCCATTTTTTTCCACCACCTCCTCTTCAGCTGTCTCCATCAACCTGGGTTTTCCGCCCATGGTGAGATGCTGTGCTGATAACCTCCAGGGAGAAGAGAGAAGTGAGCAGTAAATAGGATTTTTTTTCCTTTGGAAAAAACACAAGAGAGAAAGAAAGGGCATGAGGAAGAAAGCAGCACCATTTGTGCTCAGAGATGGAGGTGAAGACCCTTCTAAACTCCCCTCTGGCCACCCCTTCAGCTTCATGTGTTGGGCACAGGGATGCATGTGGTGCCCAAGAGCCGGGGGCTGGGCCCCGTGAGCCCAGAAATCCCTGGACAGCAGCGCCAGAGTGGCAGGAGCTGGACTCAGAGATGATTTTGGCTCCTTCCTAAGTGCAGAGGAAGAAAATGGAGCTTGAGGAGCAAGGGGAAAGGGGTAGGATGCCCCAAGGCTACTGGATGTTGACCCCAGGTTTCCTGGCTTCCCCGCAGACCCGCCCTACATCTCGGATGCGAAGAGCACCGGGGTGCCGGTGGGGCAGAAGGGCATCCTGCTCTGCGAAGCCTCGGCTGTCCCCTCCGCCGACTTCCAGTGGTACAAAGACGACAAGCGGTAAGAGCTGGGGGGGGAAAGG